ACCCTTGGGGTTGCAACTCAATTCTCAAGCAGGTAAGTAAAGAATCTGCTTTTCATTAGAGAGTTTCTCTGTGCTGGAGTGTGTAAGGTGTTTTGTGCATGAAATCACAGCTTACTTTTCTTCTGCTCAATCGATCTGTCAGTATGGAGTTGAATTTGTAGCAGAGCATGTCCTTCCCCAACTTGTACCTCTTCTCAATGCCCAACAATTGAATGTCCAGCAATTTGCGAAATACATGTCCTTTGTCAAGGATATCCTCAGGTATTTCATTGTGTATTGCAGCAATTACCTCTCTCTCCAATCACCTTCCAAACCCACCTGCATCATAGTCCCTCTGACCTTTGTTTTCTGTAATTTGTTTTTTATTCCAAAGTTTCTTTTCTTATATGGTTTTGATACAGAAAAATAGAGGAAAACAGAGGAGTTACTGTAACTGATTGTGGAGCTCCAGAGACAAAACAGGCTTCTTTTGCAAATGGCCTTCAGTCTCAGGTCTCGAGCAAAACCAGTGGGACTGCATCAAAGAGTAGCCCAGCATGGGATGAGGACTGGGGTCCCACAATTAAGGGGCCTGGGGCTTTGCACCAGTCGTCTACTAAAACTTCGACTGTTCACTTTGATTTTAGTAATCAATCAAGTCAATCTACTTCCACACAGCAGCAGCTTTCCACCGTACCTGCCTTATCTAATCAGTCAACACCAGTGTCATGCCCTGCAGTTGATATAGAATGGCCTCCTCGAAGCTCGTATAGTGCTTCCTCTGAGTTGAGCAATGGCAACAAACAATTGAATGTAGGGACATCACCCACTTCAAGTTTTGATGATTTAGATCCTTTCGCTAATTGGCCCCCAAGGCCTGGTAATTCTTCAAGTGGTTCAGGAACTTTCAACAATGGAAGTGTGGCGCTAACCATGGCTAGCAACTCATCAGGTTTGAGCACAAGTATGCCAAAAATTATTAGTAGCTTCCAAAATGACAGCAACGTTAATTGGGGTTTTAACAGTGCTTCATCTGTTCCGTTAAGACCAAATCAAGGGGATTCAGCTCTCAACTCCAGCAGTTTAAATGGCGGGAGCCTTAATCCTCAGAACTCTATTGGATTCTTGAAACAGAATCAGGGGATTTCAGCATCAGGTTCACTATTTAATGATCCGCAATCAACAGATCTCAAATCTATACTGGGTTCTAGCAAGAATGAGCAGATCGCACCAAAACTTGCTCCCCCTCCATTAACAGCCGTGGGTAGAGGCAGGGGGAGAGGGAGAGGAAGCAAATCAACGTCAAGATCTACTCAGGCTAAACCTTCATCTCAACAACCACCTCTCTTAGATCTGTTATAATGGCAGAGTTGAAGCAATGGAATTCTTTGTTCTTTGTGCAACTTTGGACATCAACGATGCTGTACAGACTGCTGAATTTTGTTAAAGTTGTGTGAATTTCACAAATTCGTCGTTCATATTGTTTATGCGGAGGTACCTTGGCTCTCAGCGGGGAGATGGAATGTTTGGTGATATAGCAGTTTGGTATATCAGTTTTTTGTAGCTTACTTTGGATTTTGATATTTGCACATTTATTTTTCTTATTAGAAAATGTAGATCATCTTGTTTATTGTTTTCCTATTAAGGTTTCTTGACATTTTGATCTTAATCACAATACTGTTATAGTGGATGCAAAAACAGTCCCAGTGCTTGGATTTGGAAAATAATAAGGGAGAATGAATATGCCTTATTATAGAACTAAATATTCTTGTTCTTTTTTTCTTTTTTGATAAAAGATTAGATATGTTTTCTTGCCAATAATAGATCTTGAGATTCCGAGATTAAAGTCTATATGTTACATAAACCATTAGCATTTTAAAGCATATTTCTATATGTTGAGAGTTTCTTAGCACCAAAAAGTAAATATTTAAAATTAAATGAATAAAAATTCTTAAAAAAACAGATATTAGGG